CTACGTCGACTTGAGTCATCATTTGGTATACAGGGGAAAGCCCTCTCCTGGTTTACGTCCTATTTGTCTGGTAGAACTCAACGGATCATGATTAACGATTCGCTATCGGAACCTTTTAAATTAGAATGCGGTGTGCCTCAAGGTTCCTGTCTGGGTCCGTTATTGTTTTCGTTGTATACGAGCAAGCTTTTTGAGATCATTGAATATCATTTGCCCACGATTCATTGTTACGCTGATGACTCACAAGTTTACATCTCATTTAGTCCCAACGACAGAGCTGAACAACTTGCTGTAGTGAGGAGTATGGAGGACTGCATCAGAGACATTCGTCTTTGGATGTTGAATAATGATCTTAAATTAAATGACGACAAGACTGAATTCCTTATCATTGGCACATCACAACAGCTGGGAAAGCTCGATAATATCAGTATACGTGTGGGCGACTCAGACATACACCCCGTGCCAATTGCGAGAAATCTTGGTTCCTGGTTTGATTCAAGGCTTTCCATGGCAACACACATCACGAAAATTTGTGCCTCTTCATTTTACTACATTTATAATATTCGTCGGATCAGAAAGTACCTTTCACAGCAGTCAACTGAAACTCTTGTCCATGCATTCATAACGAGCCGCCTGGACTATTGTAATGGCCTATTATATGGACTACCGGACTGCTTGTTGAATAAGCTGCAACAAGTACAGAATGCTTGTGCCAGACTTATTCTTAAAGAACAGAAATTTTGTCATATTACGCCCTTAATTTTTAAGTTACACTGGTTACCAATTAGATATAGAATTGAGTTTAAAATATTGTTAATTACTTTTAAGATTCTTAATTTTTTAGCCCCTTCCTATCTATCCTCTCTTATTTCCCTTAGACCCCCCTCCAAATATAATTTAAGAAATTCCAGCGATAAGCTTTTACTTAGCCATCCATCATTTAAATCGAAAGCTACACTGGGGGACCGTTCCTTTACCTGTGCTGCTCCGAAACTATGGAACGAACTACCGCTGGATATTAGGAGCGCAGGAACAGTAAATATTTTTAAAGCTAAACTTAAGACTCACCTTTTTCGTAGTGCATTTTTATAGCTTTTTTAGCCATTCTAAGTTTACTTTTAATTGTTTCTTAAAATTATTGTAAGTCTATTTTAATGGTAATTTTTAATCTTGTAATGCGCATTTGAACATTTTATGGAATTTGCGCACTATAAATTTTAATATTATTATTATTACGAAGTGAGAAATGACTATTTTGATAAATGAATTCCGTAGGAAAATGTTAAATCATTTACATATTCCGATTACGAAGTCCCATTGGTAACAGCATATTGGGAGGGTCGGTTCGAACGGCGATTGCAACGAACAAGTTTTCTTGTCGTTGGTAGCCGTGTAGTATTTTAGTGCTACTACATGGTGGCCTATTCTTTAAAACAATAAACCGCCAACAATAGAAAAACAAAAGGACTACCTCCTACTTACTAATGAGGCCGATATTTCAAGGTCGTGCGCGCACGTGCGATTTTTTGACGCGCACGATTTTCTTATACGCAATAACATGCGATTTTTGGCGCGTTTGATTCGCGTTTTTCGGTTAACGTATATGTGAGCGATACTGTACCATTTTGCGAAATCGACTATTTTCCCCCTGGGGTTACAATGTGATGACCTCTTTTTTTATGTCACAAAAACATTACAAATTAGTTTATTACCAAAGATTTTGGCCTTCTCTTATTTCTTGAACCATATTAAAATATATTTTGCCAAAGATTAATTTTAGGAGAGATACAATTTTACGGAATGAACTATTTTCACCTTTTAATAACAATGTCTTCCTTTTTGAGTCACAAAAATACATTTAAACATCATATTATAATATTTTATTATGACATAATATTATAATATACTGTATTCCCGAAGATCTTGGTCACCTCCCATTTCACTATCCAGGTAAAATTAATTTTCCAAAGTACTAATTTTAGAACAATTGTTATTTCGCAAAATAGACTATTTTCTGATGCTGAGCGGGAAAGATGATCGAGCCATTCTTGTCTCATACAATAAGCTTGTTAATATGCTAACGTATAATATGTTTAAATTTATTTTTGTGACATGAAAAGGTCACATTGTCACCGCAGGGTGAAAATAGTCGATCTCGCAGAATGGTAACACTTCTTAAATTACTTACTTTTGGCAATGTATCAAAATCCTTCTTATCATGTTTAACATTTCCTCCAACCTTTACCTTTTGAATAATAGACAGCATTATTCCTTTAGTTTTGTTATATGACTCGCTTAGTTTCTTTTCATTTTGTTTCGTCTTGTTTCGCAAAATAGAATAGGTTAAGAAATGTGTGTTTTAAAAGGCAAGTGGTTTAAGTTCGCGGTTAGTAATGACAATAAGGCCTGAAAAAAAATTCAGGTCTTATTTCCATCCCGTGTAGCCCTGAATTGTTTTCAGGTCTTATTTTCACTATTGCTCAAGTAGTGTTCATGACTGCGAAGATCGCTTTCATATTCATGTTTTCTTATGCTTCTTGTTAGGTACTGATACCTTAAGGAATGATGTTTGATAGCTATATACTAGTTATCAAGTTTCAAACTGCTCTTGGAGGAGTTCAATGTATTTTGTTTGCTGCATCACTGGGTTCCATTCTTGCCACTCTACAAAGCTATCATACCAGTGATAGACTTAACTTCAACTGTGATCCCAAACCCAGTGATTTTATCAGACAACGTTGCTATAACAACTACATTTCCACTGTTACCAAGCCTCATGGGTTAATACTTCGGAATGTTGTTGCCATAACACTCGGTGTTTTGTGTGCATGCTGGATCGGCTTTGCAATTTATGGAGCTGTGACCCTTCGAAAAAGACCACCATACAGAAACACAAAGACATTTCTTTGCACGTACTTCTTCCATGTGTTCTTTCGAATATTGTTCCTGGGTACTATGTTAGGGCTGGTCTGCAGTTACCAGAAAATTTTTTTACCTTCTGTTTTTAAGTGTGATGTTAATCAGATCTTGCAGATCAACATTCAAACCACACCAAGTCCACTCAACCAGACAAAAATAACATTGCAATGTAATGATCTTCATCACAAGGAGAAATCAAACTTAAATATAGCTTTTATCTCAGTTGATGTCTTTTTTATGATGGTCAGTATATTGGAAGTCCTGCACTTGTGTCGTAACAGGAGAAACTATTTGCAAGAGTTGGTTGGAGACCCTGAAGACGTAGAGATTGACGAGTTACCGCAAAGTAAGTAAATAGTTTATTTCATAGTTTAACTCTAGTAAATTACCATAGCCAAAACGCTGATGCAGAAGTGTTAGTCAGCGATATAATAATTGCAATGACTAAACGAAAGAAAGGGATTTGGCATGAGAATTTAGAAGACAACCCACAAAAATTTATAGGGGAGAGGAGGAAGGGGTGGTGTTTGTTAATATATTACACTTTATAATTCTAAACAATCTATTAAGGAGAGAGACTTATTGGTACTGTTTGGTTCACATGGTCAAATTCATTACTGAGAGACCAAATGACGTTAAAAAAAGCAACGACTGGCACTTGTCAATGTTCCATCGACCCCTTTTCAGCAAGAAATAGAAATTTCAAGAAGTCACAACTTACTCCTAATACCTAATAACCCCCTGGTAAAAGTAGAAAAGTTGAAAGGACAGTTGAAACAGCCTAGAGCTTGATAAAAAGAAGCAACAAAGGATGCACGTGTACGTGTAGTTTTCTCAAAATTTTCTACACTCAGAGAGAAGTGTTTTATTTTGAATTTTTTAAAATGTATATTAAAACAATCATTGAATTCCCTTTTTGCATGATATCATGAATTATCAAACTTCACGTCAGTGTTATGTGCCACAGCCATCGGCTTCAGCAGATAACTCAGACCTAGATGTTGATAATTCACGATATCGTGCTCAACATCATCTAGTAATTGCTTAATTTTCCGAGAGTCATGGCGTTATGTGGCGTAACGCTAAGAATGCCTCAAAAACTAATAGCCGATTCTTTTTCAGATGGATTTGACCCAACTGGAATTATTGATAATATTCGTCAACTCTACAAAAATCGGGAAGGTTGGCTGGCACCGTTTCCCTGGTGTGAAGATTTTCACTTCTCCTTTGACGACATCTACACCCGACTTAAAGTCATCTACAGAAAGAAAACGAGAGGAACAGCAACAGACCGAGTTGTCACGATGTCTGAAATCTTCAACAAGCACGAAGAATGTGAAGAACCAAGAGTAGTATTAATTGAAGGGAAGCCTGGTATGGGAAAGACAACTTACTGTAAGAAAGTTGTTTTCGACTGGGCCTCAGGAAAACACGCAAGCGGAAATTGCTTCACAAACTTCGCATTAGTGCTTTTGATCAAATGTCGTGATTTTGAGTCTGGCCTTTGGGAGGCTATTGAAGATCAACTTCTGCCTCGAGAAGTTGGTGAAGACCAACGAGAGAGATTCTTCGACTTCATTCTCCACAATCAATCTAATGTTCTTCTGGTACTCGATGGATTGGATGAAGTTTCTGAGGAGAAGCTACCTATGTTTTCAGAAATTATTCAAGGCCGAGTGCCGCGCATGCCAAACTGTCGCGTGATTGCTACGGCACGACACGAAGCGGGAGTTAAAGTTCGAATATACTGCAACACGCTGCTAGAAATTGAGGGGTTTACTGAAGAAGACGTAAACTCCTTCATCAGAAAGTTCTTCAGAGACAAATCAAAATTGGCCGAGCAGCTAATTGCGCACCTACGTGTTGATTACAGGTTATATGCAATTTTGACGAATCCTCTCAACACTGCGCTTCTTTGCCTGGTCTATGAAGATTTGAACGGTGTATTTCCTGAAAGCAGAACGAAGCTGTACATGGAAATAGTGGAGTGTGTACTAAGAAGGTACAGAACAAAGCAGCAACTACCAGAAAACGGTGAAGACCTTGTTAAACTTTACGAAAGCGAATTGAGACACCTTGGTTCGATAGCTTTGAAAGGTTTACTTGAGGGCAATTTGGATTTTGACGAGGAGGAGCTTAGAGAACACAAAGCAACGGATTTACCTGGACTCGGATTTCTGTCAGTTCAGCCTGGAGGCAGTAAACTAAGACCAACTAGACGTTATGGCTTTCTTCACAAAACTTTCCAAGAATTCTTCGCAGCATTGTATCTCAGTTGTCAGCTTATCAAGAAAGAAATCAGCACGAATAGCATAGCTGCTGACAGAAAATATCGCGATGAGCTGAGAGAAGTACTTCTGTTTACATTTGGTATGCTTGCAGCACGATGCGAGGAAACAGCGGTAAACCTTCTGAAAAGTATAGCAACAGAGTTAAACCTGAAAGAAGAGCGAAGCCTGTCTTTTATAAGACAGTTTATTATTGAATGCAAAAAGGAGAAAAAAAATGTTGATGAAATATTTCGTTCCGCTATTGGCGCTTCTCTTCAAATTGAAACTTTTAGTATTTCAGAGAGAAAAGTAGAAAAAACTTTTGCTGTCTTTTTAAGCAACTTTCTTAAAACAAATACAACTGTGAAAAGCTTTTCAATGTATGACTCTTCGATAGACGGGGTTACAGCTCTGACTGAGTGTTTGAAATATAATACATCGCTGACAGAGTTGGTATTGAGTAGTGATGAAATTGGTGATGATGGTGCTGCTGCTCTGGGTGAGTGTTTGAAACATAATACATCGCTGACAACGTTGGATTTGTGCTATAATAAAATTGGTGATGTTGGTGCTGCTGCTCTGGCTGAGTGTTTGAAATATAACAAATCGCTGACACGGTTGGAATTGGGTGGTAATGAAATTGGTGATGATGGTGCTGCTGCTCTGGGTGAGTGTTTGAAACATAATACATCGCTGACAACGTTGAATTTGAATGGTAATGAAATTGGTGATGATGGTGCTGCTGCTCTGGGTGAGTGTTTGGAATGTAATACATCGCTGACAACGTTGAATTTGAACTCTAATAAAATTGGTGATGTTGGTGCTGCTGCTCTGGTTGAGCGTTTGGAATATAACAAATCGCTGACACGGTTGGAATTGAGTGGTAATAAAATTGGTAACGATGGTACTGCTGCTCTGGTTGTTGCGCGGAAGTGTCATCCACATCTGAAAATATTTAGAATGTATTGAACCCTCCTAGAACATGGCTACCTTGCTTTATGACCAACTTTAAGAAGCGTTTACGTCAGGAATAAGCAGGGATTAATGACTCTGACCTTGAACAGGGTAAATGTACAGTAGCTTCTATTTGTTGATATTAGTATTAATATAAGACCGTATGTAGCATCTGTTTGCCAAGATTATTTACTTTTGTAAGAGCTTTTATAAAAGCGTGTACGTTTAGTTTAGAGACCGTTACACTTTATTACAATCTTATCTATACAGCTTTCACCTTGTCACGTTTAATGGATAAAGCTGTTAAAAGAAATTATGCTTCAGCTGTAACGCGCGTGCGTGTAAACCACCAGATTATCCACATGAGGATAATTTGCAAACATTGGACCGCCTCGGATTTTGCTGTAGTTGAAAATCAGATGTAAATGTAGATGTAGATTTGCATCCTAAAAAATCTACCAGAAACATAAATCTGCCGCACGAATGAGAATCGGAAATTTTGAAAAATCCCGCGTGTATTTTAAAGTTGTTTCCGCCATTGTTCCAAAGTAGCCATATACGGTCATTGTTAATCGTTTAACAAAGTCTGCTGTAATCTAAGCTGATCCGCTTTTCTTGATACGTTTTTCTTGAGAGGGACTGTCATAATTGGTTAAAAGTTAGAGTAATTATTCTTTGGTGATCAGTTACTTGATTCTCATAAACTTACTTTAGTGTGATAATGTGCTGACACTTTTAAGTCCTGTGAGAAATTGGAAGTTGATAATTCTTAGGGTGCAAAGAGTTAATTAATAGAGTTGTAGCCATGTTGTATGGTAAGACTCTTTATGATGACCACACGAGACTTTGTTGTAGGCTGTGAAGAACAATTTATTTTCCGAAGTGAACTTTTTTTGGGAAAGTTGTCACAAGATATTTTTTAATTTTGTAAGGGTAAGTTTACTTGAACCATTTATGTATTTCTTAAGACGTAACTGAGATAAATAAAGGTACTTTCAATAGAATTTCAGTTTTCCTCCTCTATTTTTTATTGATGTGTATACTTTTTTTGCGTTCTTCCAGAAAGTCCGTTTGATTACGATGTTCCTCAGCCTTCTGCTTCCTTGCTTCAATTCCCTTTTTTCGTTTGATATATCTTGTAAACTGACCCATGGTCGATGCGATTTGGATGTTTTGGGAGTTGCGTTTTATCTGCTTACACAGAAAAACTGGGTGAAAGAGTGAGTTGTCTTGCTAACTGAAATCAGAGAATACCTATGGCCAACTCGTGCAAAGAGTTCTTCATCTGGAGATGAAACATGGCTGTGAACCTGTAATTAAATTTATTGTGGCAATGCAAGGTTGCTCCTATCCCAAAAGCCAAGCTTACGGAAAGTCACAGAGAGATCCAGAATTAGATCCAGAATGGTAACCATTCAACTCCGCTGAGAAAAAAAACGCACATGTAGTCTTCAAAAACAGCACAAAATAGTATCCTGCGTTTATCGAATTTCTGTTCGCAAAATTTGTCAAATTTAGATGCTGCAATCCAAGTCCTTCTTCGCCTGCACAAGCCAAATTTTGCTATTTTCCATTCATATGTCACGTTCTACCTCAGCTGCTCAAGAAATGGTTGAATTGCAGCGCAACAGTCTTTGTTTACAGCCTTAATCCTCTAACTCCCAGATCAAATTTGTAATTCTCCTACTGTCAACCATAGAATTCTTATGATGTTCGTTCAGAGAATTTAGTATTGAATCAACTAATTATCCCCAAATTGATATTTCTCTTTATTCTCATCACTTATCTGGTTGATATTGTATTGATATTGTAAGGAGAAATTCTGTCTTGGTTACTCATGGGAGTTAAAGAGTTGACTCCCACGTGCATCTGATAACAAAACTCTTTAAGTTTTCTGCCTCGGAACAAATTACCTCAGAAGGCATTTTAGGCGATCGCAATACTTTTGTCTGATTGAAAATAAACATATGCGGTAGTGAATTCCACAAGTTTTCTTTTGTCAGAAAAGCACAGGATTATTTTCGTCCGCTTCCGACCGATTCAGTCGCCAATGCTCAGCTTACATAAGATAATTGAATTTAATCACGGTTCATGTTTGACATCAGATCATAAACAAGCGAAGCGATTCACAGTAGTTGGTTTGTGCCTGAACTCGATAAAATTTTTTTCACATGCAAGGTTATATCTAAAGCAACGATGCTTAATATGTAACAAAGCCTTACTAACGTCACGTGCGGTTACTACTCCAATGTGGTTTCGTGTTCGAGCGAGTTCGGGACGACTAATTACCAGTGTCTACATCTTAGTGAGTGAGTGACTCATTTGCATATCTGAGTCCTCATAAAAACTCTTTTGCACGAGTTAAAAATGAGAAAGAAAAGAGAAAAGAGAGAAAAGATATTGACCATAGCAACAGGTTACCCAGGTGTTCAAACTTTCCCCACCCCCTCCCCTCCTCGGTTGTTTATTTCTGAGAGAGAGGTAGGAGTGAGAAAAGTAAGAAAAAAGGATGAGGGAAGAGTGAGTTGAAACCTGGCTCTGTCCCACAGGTTCACCAGCCTTTAAACAATATAAAACGAAAGGAAAAGGAATTAATGGAAGAGATACAAAGTGCCTTGTTTTTTTTGTTTTTTGTTTTTGCGTTTTCTGGTTAATAACTGTATTCAAAATTTGAAATTATCGACCTTAGTGAGTTCTCCTTGACCATTTTTTTGCGCATTAAAAGTGCAATTTGGCCAACAAAAAGTGTCCCCATTTAGCGCGCGGCCAAAACGATCATATTACGTAGCTGTGACATAGAAAACTGTGCAGAAACTTCGTCGGAGAAAGAAGAAATGAAGAGGAGACGACGAACGGACGTTGCGCCAAATGAGGTTAGATAAAAGAATGATAGACCTACACCGGGTATTTCCATACACCACTTTCCAAAGGATGTAGCTGTATGGCCAAAATGGACGCTTTTCCATCGTAGTCATAGGGGAGATTTTACTCTTTAAAGTCGTCGGCCTTATGCTCCGTTTCGGCTTCGAAGACGGCTGTCACGAACACATACCACTGGTCAAATCAGGGGAACTTAGATTGCCAGTGAATTCAGCTGAAAAGAATGCTGATTAAGGGGCCTATTCCACATCGGACACGACATTCATACCACATTCTTTTCGGCTGACATTACGCAAGCGAAAAATGGTGAGCTTCTCAATGTGGCTTATTTCACGCACTTGAAAGGTACTTATACTCTGTTCATGTTCGGCGTGTATACAAAGTTAATTTATAAAGTTTGATTTCAAGCCACCGGCGTATAGGGACTGATATGTAAGTTGTTTTCGCTTGTTTTGTTGTTTATCTCGTTTCGAGCAAGCTCTTTCGTCTTTATTTGTATATATATTTTGTGTTTGCTGTAGCATTTGGTTCATTTATTAGTTCCTTTATTATGTTAGATTCATTTACGCTGTTAAGTCGCCACGTGTTTAATTGAATACAATCTATTATATAAGTCCCTTTTTTAATTCGCTTACAGTTTACGAGATTGATTAAAGTCCCTGTAACATATCCCCTGGATTGGTTGGCATTTTTCTCTGGTCGCGATTTTCTTGGCACTTCATCGAGCCTTGATGTTCGTTTGCCGCAACAATGTGAAAGAATACTCAACTGAAAATAAAAGGGCTTCGAACTCTTAAAACTGACGATAACGACGGTCCCATCGATTGATAGCTGTGGAAATATTTTTGGCGCGGCGGAAGCGATTTTAATTATTGTCTTGAAGTTGAAATTCGTTCATCTGTTTGGCTGTCATTTAACTATGTTTTACACATATTTGGCTGCTAATTTACCGTGTTTCGAGGTTTTAAAGATTTCCCTGGGTTTTACCTTTCTTTTGTCTCGCAATAACCTACATTAGTTATTTCGCTCCTTATTTTGCAGCGTGAATTTTAGTCGTTTACTTGTTTTTGCATTGTGCTTTCATTGGCTGCTCTTGAAATTTTCGCTTTATCTAATTGGTTGTTGTAATTACCTCACTTCTGGTTTCACGAAAATCAGTCGAAAAGCGCTTTAAGCGACACATTTACTTTACAAAGCGTTCCCTGCAACGGCTCCCAAGTCACCTACCAGCTGATGATAGGTTAATCCCTTCTGTTGTTACGCTTATCTCAAAAAGTCTTCCGCCTTGAAGGGGCTTTACCAAGTAATCATCTAGAGAGCCTAGAAGACCTTCCTTCTGATATTTCCCTTGAGCGTCCCTTTTAATGAACCAGTCACGTGGAGGGTCCTCGAATCCATCGCATAGACTAATCCAGAGAAATTGACAGCTGATAGATACCAGGCTTCATAAAAAGAAACAGAGCTTCATAAGTTCCCTTGTTGTAGTAAAAAATAGTGGCCGCAACGCTTGATGGGCCACCTACGTGGACCCTCCAAGTGTCCCCGCCAAATGCTTTCTCTCTCTCTTATCGGACGTTTTTGATTGGATAAAAATCTTACTATACTCTTCCGCAGGTCTGATGTCCTGAAATATTATCTTACATCTAGAAGCGTTGGTTCTGTTCGCTTTTCCCCGGCCCTGTTGCACCTCTCCCCAGGCCATATTATCATAACACGGTTTGATTATGGCTTGCTAGTCCGAGCGCGCACGATGCTCACGTAGCCACTCATGACGGAAATCGTCAATTTTATCCGCTTCGTTCGTTTTCGCAAAAGAAGAAATTGGTGCACCCTTCTCAGTATTGGTCTGCTAGATGGCATAGAAACATTTGCAATCAGCAACATTTGAATGGGGGAGAGGGTGAAAAACCTTCATAGACGTTGCTCTGGTGAAGTGTCCCAACTAATTTTGTCTGGGAGCGTAATAATGATATAATGAGAGACGTTTTTCCGTCTTGTCACGAGCGTGGCACAAAGAAAAAATTCTGAGTCCCCATGAAGAATTGAACCTCTAACCTTCGGATATCCGCGCTCCAATGCTCTACCTCTGAGCCACAAAGACTCCACGGCAAGCGAGGTCTGGTGCGAAGTTTTAC